GACAAGCGGGCTAACCCTGATTTCGGTGGTATTCAGAAATCTTGACCTCCACCAAAAGTGGACATAGCCCTACCTGTAGAAGAAGTTTGGTTTCATTGGTTTGTACATTTGTTTGGTTATTGAGAAAACTCACCTTTAAAAAAAAAAAAGAAACTGAACGAGGGGCAAAAACTTTACCTTCAATTTTCTCAGAACAGCATTTTTTTAGGGATAACCCCCTTGTGTTTAAAAGCAACAATAGAACATCTGGTTTCTGATCTCATGGTCTTAGTAACTCACAACGGGAGAACATGTCAGATAGAACTTTGTAATTCTGAGATAGCGATTTATTGTCTGTGGCCCCCTGGCACCCGAGGATTTCCACAGACGCCTGCGCATGCAGGAAATGAACGCTCATAATATTACAGGTCTGTGTGGCTGATGTTCCGTGCTGACTGACATGACGCCCCGAGGCTTATTTTGTGCCGCCAGAGATAGCCAGACGGTGACTAACGAGTCGGTCATGATGATCGTAAACTACGTCTATCGTGAGCCGAACTTATGAAGCGTCCAAGACCAAAGATTTTGGCCCGTAGTTTTGTAGTTTTGTTACGGTACATTTAGCCGGAATATTGATTGAAAATCTCAACTGCGTAACTTTGTGTTGCAGTTTTTTGTTTTGGAGTTGTGGTTTTTTTGTGGGGGGTTTTGTAAGTGTTTTACGGCGCTCGCAACAGCATGAGGTCATTTGACCGCGCAGGACACATTAAACTTTTTCAGTTGGCAGGTAATTTTGAATTTTGCCCGGGTGGCGTCCGAAGCCTACTCTTATCGATTTTAGACCACCAAGGGATCTTTAACGTCGCAACTTGCACACGGGCCCTCCGAGATTTTTCACCCTTGTCCGAGAAGGCTAGGTGTAGATATCTCCTACCAGAAGATCAGGGGTGTGGCTGAAAGATAGCAGTAAAAAGGAGCCAAGGAGTAGCAGTAGAAAGATTGCAGAAAGAGTCAGGAGCCCAGAGGAGAGGGCAAAGGAGGTGAGGGGGTGGGGCAGAAAGAGGAGGCACAAGCAGACGGCAGAACACTGCTAGAGAGCAGGAAAGGAGGTGATATGAGTCAATTTTAGAGAGGAAACTTTTTCGGTCGCTACCCGGATTCGAACCCGGGACCTTTGAAAGAGAGGCTAACATCTTAACCTCCAGGCCACGAGAGCCCCCAAACTAGTCTATCGTGGGCGGAACGTACAAAGCGTCCAAGTCCGAAGATTTCTGGCCAGCAGTTTTGTAGTTTTGTTACCGTACATTTTGCGGGAATATTGATTGAAAATCTCAACTGCGTAACTTTGTGTTGCAGTTTGGCTTTTTAAGCCATAAAAAGTTATTCGAAGAACCCAAAAAAAAAATACGGGAGAGAAAAAAATACGTTTGCTTCTACAGCGAAATACAGTCAGTGAGACATAGAGTGAGATGTTCAAAAACATCATGTTATGTCTAACAGTCGATGCAGCTCTATATTGGTAAATATTATCATGCAAGCTGATGGTGTGTGGTTTGAGGGTGCCGCTGGTTGGTCCTACTCTTATAACTATTTTTCCTCCCTCTATTTCTGCTTTTTATCGTGCTATTTCTCAGCACTTTATCTTTGTTACCATGCCGATGCGATTCTCTCAACTGAAACTAAACTAGACATACTCACCTATCCGTCCGCTTCTCTGTCTGTCTGTCTGTCTGTCTGTCTGTCTGTCTGTCTGTCTGTCTGTCTGTCTGTCTGTCTGTCTGTCTGTCTGTCTGTCTGTCTGTCCGAAGGTGGGTTTTTTTCAGTTTGCCCACTCAGTTTGCCTACTCATCTACCTTTCTGTCATCTCTCTGTTCAGTTTGGGGACTGCTAGTACCCTAATCAGACCCTGAAGGAATATGGCATTGTCTACGTTCTCCGTAACGTTTATTAAATCTAGATTATATTACCTTACCATTTTGTCCAATAGATCTGTATTATCCATCACGGTGTGTGTTTACGAATGTGTTGGTGGGCATGGCTAGTACAAGGAACCATAAACAACTCTGTACATTACAGCTGTTGGCACTTTCACAGGTACGGTTTCCGTCTTAATTATCTTCCTTCACTCTCCACACATTACGCTGTCTTCTCTCTCTCTCTCTCCCTCTCTCTCTCTCTCTCTCTCTCTCTCTCTCTCTCTTTCTCTCTCTCACACACACTCTCGATTCTCTCTCTATCTGTTTGTCTCTCTCTCTCACTCTCTCTCTCTCTCTCTCTCTCTCTCTCTCCAGATAGATAGATAGATAGATATCTGTATGTCTGTCTGTTCAGGAAAGAGTAATTTGCCGTCAGCGTGTCGAAACGCTTCCCTTCTACTCAAAGTTACAATAATAAAGTCTTTATCTATCTGGGATTTGTAATACATATCTCTTTTTCTCTCTGCCAGCGAGAGGAAGTGTCGTCCATAAACATCATGTAGGCCTGTCAATAAATGAGTATGTCGCAGCATGTTTCTAAGTGAATGTCAGTTGTATGCACGGGTGGTTTGAGGGCGCCACTAGAAGGTTCTAATTCTGTTCTTACTATCTCTTGTTCCTATGTGCTTGTTTCATTTTTTCTCCTGCACAAAATAACAGTTATTGTGTCAATGTGCTTTTTTCACTTTGGTTAATTGTGGGCAAGGCGGTTAGAGAATGATAAGGAATTGGGGGCAGGGAGGGAGGTAGGGTATATCTTCCATATGCATACAAAAATTGATTAACATAATGCAGTCGAAAATTTGTGGCACTACTTATTGTCAAATAACTCCTTTTACACTATGACTTATACCAATTTGTCTCAACAGATAATTATTTTTAAGCATCTATGTGCTCCATTCTAGAAAAAAAATCCTTAATAGATATTAATTTTTTAAAATCCCGTTGGGTAGTTTCTACAGATTTTAAAATGTTTTTAAACCAAAACGCATTGGCACAACAAGCACATCGTTACTGAATAGGAGTGGGTAATATTGGTTACATTGTTCTTTACTTCTTATACTCGTGAATTCTATACTACTATACTAAAGTTGTTAGTGAAATTCTGTGAAGGTTATCTGAAGAATCACATACTCTTACCGGCATCTATATATGATAAAGTCAAGAAGGACAACATCAAACAAGATCACCTTCGTGTCACAGTACCCGACTACGATTCCCCCTCACCATCATGCTGGCTCTCATCAGACTGGTTATAAAGTTGGAGCAGTTATTCTTTCACGTGTTTTTTTTAATCAGAATATCGCAATTAAGGATGGGCTGAAGTTTCTGCCACACTGGTGAGCTGTGACGTAGACCATATACGTATGCAAAATGTGTGTGTGAGAAGCAGTGAGTCTGCTGTGAACGCTCCCATTTTCCTCGCGACGGAGGTTTGCAGTATGCTGGCAATCAAAAGAAAGGAACCACTTTTTGATTGCGTAAAAAAAAAATCTCGGCTTTTGAGTCTTTGCGTTTTCCTTTCAAGTGTGTAATATTAAGTACATGTAGTTTCAAAAGTAGGTCATGTTATGATAATAACATTTCAGTGCTTCAATTAGTGTTCACAGCACCAACATCAAATAATAATTTAAAAATTGGCAACATAATAGAAATCAATCCATCGGCACGTTTCTGCTATTGCCAGTACATTCGAAGTCAACAGAAAAAACTGTAATCACGCACACGCGCACGCGCGCGCACTCACGCACACAAACACACACACACACACATACACACACACACTAACACACATACGCGCGCACACACACTAACACACACACGCGCACACACACACACACACACACACACACACACACAGAGCGTGCGAGCGCATGCAAGCACATATACACAAACAAACAAACAAACACACACAATTAAGAATAATAAAGTGATACCTTTCATTTTTCTTCTTTTTCAGGCAGACGCACTGCCTGAGGATCAAATCTCTGGTAAGACTTCTTGAACAACGTAACCCTATCCGTACGCCCTGGGGTCATTTTGTACCCCCGGGGTGGTATTCTTCACATTTTAGAATACTTCTAGTACGAAGATCTCTTTGAAACTTACAGTATTTCTCAAAAAACCATTTTGACAGACGGCTATGCAAAGCGGTACGGATCGGATTAACGATAAATTTCCTCTTTGGAAGTGGTGGCACAGAGTTCCACACGTTCTGTGGATACGATAGCAAAACACGACGTACGGATAGGGTTAAACTTTTATCTTTTTTTAAATCGTTGCTTCCATCTATAAAATAGTTCATGTTTTATCGCCCCTTCTTAATTTTTCGGATTTTTTGGTCGTTTATTGTATTCGCAAAGTCATTGTTACTCCTTGTTTATATATCGATGATATTTATCTCTTGTAAAGACGTTTAGTTTGTTCATATACATAGGCCCTTTGGACACATGATGGTTTCACAATCATGGTAAACTGGTCAGGTGTACGTGCATTGTGTTAACACTGGTTCTATTTTTGGTACAGTGTAATGTATTTATATTTTTTCTGGTTTTTCATACTTATTTCTTCTTTTTCGGCACTTATATGACCTTATTGTGTTGCAAGTGCCGTAAAACTCTTACTAAAACAATTTCTTCTTTTATTTACATTACTTATTGACTTGATAAAGGGCCAGTCTTCGAAAAGACCCGACAGCTTTTCCAAAAAGCAGAACAAACGAAGTTTGTTATTGTAGCTTTTAAATGTGTCTTCACTGAAAGTCAGAGAGTCTGATACAATGTTTTTCGTGCTCTACAGAAGAATTGGGTTCATGCCTTTTTCAAACTTGTGCTGGTGGTATAAGTCTTAGTGCTTTCATTGCACATTTGATACTACATATTAGTATGCTTTGAACGTGTCTGCCAGTGAAAACAAATTTTGCCACTGAAGGAAAAATTCTTAAAAGGAGCACTACTCTTTTTTTCCTCAAATTGCTTGTCATGGTTATAGTTGTGCTAGTTCTTTGGCCTTTCTTTGCTTTTGATATACAACATTTTTATTCAGAATTCAAAGAGGCGTTCAGCCTGTTCGACAAAGATGGCGACGGCACCATCACCACCAAAGAGCTGGGCACAGTCATGAGATCCCTGGGACAGAACCCCACAGAGGCCGAGCTACAGGACATGATCAACGAGGTGGACGCTGACGGTGAGTGGGTGAGGGGGAGGGAGAGGGAGGGATAGGGAAGGAGAGAGGGAGGGAAGGAGGAAGGAAGAGGAAGGAAGGGAGAGGGAGTGGATTGGCAGAGAGGGACAGAACCCCACAGAGATCAACGAGGTGCACGCTGATGGTGAGCCCTTGTTTTTGTAAACCCAAAGCAGTGGAGTTCTTTTGGAAACCCAAAACCATAAAATCAAATGAAAGTGGGGGGATAACAAACATACATGGCACATCCAGTCATCAAGCCAGAGAATCTGCTTCGAATCCTATTTCTTGAAGCGTGGTGTGCTTCAAACTTTTTGTGACGGTCAGGCGTGCATATATTGCCCACGTTGAAAACACCTCAGTTACCAAAAGCAAGAAGAAGAGTCGGTTATCAAGAAAAACTGGAAACAAAATTGTTCATAGTAATTATTAACAAGTTGAACGTTCGAAAATCATAGCTTCCTAAGGAGTTTACTGTTATATACATAGAAATAATTTGCTGTGTTGAGGAACACGCGTAGCCCTACCACCACTGACATCTACCAGGAGAAGGAGGAGTCGGGGGAAGAGGAGGAGAAAAAAATTGTGCGTCGGTAGACAAGTGGTGATGCTCTCGGACTCTCTACCGTAAGGTCGTGGGTTAAAATCCCGTAAGGGGCCCGACGTTGTGTCCTTGGGAAAGGCATTTTGCACGAATTTCCCTCACTTCACCCAGGGAAGAATGGGTCAATTTCTGAGAATGAGTCCCCAGCTATAGACAGAGAAAGGTCTTGTCAGTCTGTTAGTGCTTGGGCTCTTAATCGGCTGTTTGCATTGTATACTTCCCTGAAAGCCGAGAATGTTTCTCAGCGTTATAGAGTCTTCTGGGGTAATAGTATAGTGTAAAGCGCATAGGGCTTGCTGTAGAGTGGGGGTATGCGCTATACAAATGCTATTTATTATTATTATTTTGAAGAAGAAGAAGAAGAAGAAGAAGAAGAAGAAGAAGATGAAGAAGAAGAAGAAGAAGA